TTTGCAGGTAACATAATTAATATGGTGTAATGATAAACGCTTTGCGCATGTAATGCTATAAATATCACTGTTATTTAATTAAGTACAGCTCAGTGATAAATGTGTTTAACATAAAAGATATTTGAAAGACAGGCGAATGGGCCGTCTGTGCGCGCTTAAGTATACAGTTCTCATTTAAATTCCTCCCTAATGGAGGCGCGAGAAAGGAGGCGCGAGTTCTGCGTATCTCCCTCACTGTTTCCTTCAGTTAGTTTTAAAATAAATTACGTTATAGTGGACAGCGAAATCAAGCACCGATCCATCTAACCACACCCACTCACCTTCCTATATTCACACTTTCCTACTTTACACACATTACTACGGTGCGATTTATTTGACCGCATCATCATTGTTTTACAGATCCCGAGTACAGGGGTGAGCTTCGCTACGTGGATATCGCCCAAATCTTTGTCAATGACATTTGACGTTCTATGTAAGAAGACGAATAAGGAGAGGAGAGGGAGGAGGAAGAATAAAACGGCGAAGAATAAGCAGGAGAAGAAGAAAGGGAGAAGGAATGAGAAGATGAATAAAATAGGGTAAAGAAGAAAGGGAGGAGGAGCATCAAAAGTTGTGCTTCAGCCAATCACTGTGCCACTGTCAACAAGCGAGATCAACTGACTGAATCGTTGCAACGAACACTTCAGAGCGATATAACAGCTCACCAGCTCTACAGAAACTGGCTTCTTTCTGGCGAGATCTATGACACGTGACATAATTTGTTCGCCTTGTTCGCCAGTCAGTACTCCATTTTCTCTCGGAGTGTCTCATGGAATGTGCAAGGTTTCCTTCATTCTCCGTTATCGCCTACAAGCGCCACGATTACAGGTAACATATAGAGTAATGATAAACACATTGCGCATGTGATGCTATAAATAATACTGTTATTAAATACACCTCAGTGATAAATGTGCTTTATATAAAAGTAATTAAGTTATTTGAAATACAGGCGAATGGGCCGTCTGTGTTCTGAACAGTTCTCATTCAAATCCGTCATACCTCAAGCAGGCGGGAGGTGTGCGTATCTTCCACGCTGTTTCCTTCAGTTAATTTTCAAATAAATTACGTTGTAAATGTACGGGGAATCCATCGACCCATCCATCTAACCACCCACTCACCACGTGTAGTTTGAGTTTCTCTGTATCATGCATGTATTTCAACAGGAAGAAGACGGCTAAGACATCATGTGTGAAAATAGACACCGATGATTCAGTGTTCGGTAAGAATACTGTGTGTAATCTCAACATGTTCTGCTTGCATCTATGACAAATACGACATACGCATATACGCTCTGCTATGACACTATTTGTCATAGGAAGATTCTTCCTATGACAAATATTGGCGAGCCAACTTCATTCTGCTTTACATCTGAAATTCACTGCTTGCGTTCATAATAGCGCTCCTAAACTCTTACGATGCGCACAACACATACAACAATATTTGTCATAGGAAGAATCTTCCTATGACAAATATTGTCATAGGAGAGCGTATATGCGTATGTCGTATTTGTCATAGATGCTAGCAGAACAGGCTGGTAATCCACACATGCGTGCTGCTAGTCGGTGATATTGCTACGTTGTCGCGATGCATTTTCGGTGACCAGGACCGTAGGCTGAGCAAATTCCTAGCAAATTCCTAATGGAGGGGGAGGGCAAAATTCCATGACTCAACTGTGTAATGATGATGGGCGACGGGCGCAGCTCTTGATTGACGTCCATAGTGTGGTAGGGGTGGCTCTGAGACAAGGCTTTCACGGATAAGTGACCAGGAAAATCACGTTAGGGTTATTTACGATGAAGAAGAAGAAGAGGAAGACACCACGTATAATCTCACGTCTCTCTCTCTCTCTCTCTCTCTCTCTGCCTCAGCCATGCCGAGCGTGTCGTACGTGCTCGGATACGAGATCGCAACCGACGGCGTATCGGTGTACCTGTACGGCATGGCGCATGACGGAATCACATACTTGATCAGTCGCAACGAAGGCCTCAAGTGGTTATCAACCAACACAGCCCGCTACACGACCGCCACGGGCCAGTCGAGCTGGAAGTCGACCCAGAACGTGCCCTTCGTCGCTGACACCGACGCCGCCTACGGCACCGTCAATACCTACTTCAGTGACACCACCTGGACAGGTAAGCGATTCACATTTTCGGATTTTTTTGTTGAATTTTTTGGATTTAATCAGAATCGGATTTTAATCTTATTGTTGCTGTAGTAGTGTAGTAGCTACAACGTGGGCGTCCATGTTGTGTGTTTCAGTGACGTACGATGGCGTGTCGCATGCTGGGACACTTGTCTACAGATGGGGAGATTTCCTCTAGTCAGTGCGCGTGTGCACTATGCCTACCATTACTGGTCTCACCAGGGCAGCACACCTACGATCACCACGTTAATTTAATGAAAGACTACATTACTTTTTAGCACATGTATTGTTCAGATGGTGATAGAAGCATGGTATAATTTCTTTTTCGATTACTAAAACACAAAATGACTGCCATGTTGTATATATGCAAATTAGGTAGTCCTCTAATCACATTAAATGTTATCGTAATAATTTCTTCATGCGTTTAAAAATGTTAATTAGAAGTAGATATATGCCTAAACAAATGTATTTTGAAATTTCATGGTGGCCATTTTGAAAATAGGATACCATTAAAAGGCCATATTCGTTGGGGTCCACCTCTTATTTTATTTAGCACTTGTCATGGCACATATGTACCAAATCTGTTGCTTTTATCACAATCTGAACGATCGACGTGATTTTTGGTGTTTAGATCTTGTGCTATAAATGGTCTTCTGTGCTTTACATGGTTATTTACTTAATAGACATGCGAGTGCGTTGCGCTTTGCCTTTCTAATTTAGATCAAATTCACCGGTTAATCAGTTAATCGGTTAATCGGTTTAGACTGTTGACGATCGAGTCTATCCACATGCAACTATGTACTTGATTTATACCAGCGTAGATAGTAAAATATTTTAAAAGTGCTATATGGTATGGCGTAAATTATGCATGTATCGAACTGCCCTAAATAATGAGCAAACTGAAACGCTGCTATAGCAATACCAGCAAAGTGAATGCCTGTTAAAGCTTGGAGTATTAAGCTGACTGCTGAGTCAGCTCATTACTCCAAGGTTATAGCTACCAAAAACCACAACACTATTAGTAACAGGAGCTGCTAGAATTGTTGCCTACACCATCTATATGTGAAATCACGGGCAGCTTTATCGAAAATAAAACTGCAGACCTCAGCATAAAATATCATCGCGCAACATGTGACTTATAATTTCTAGTTCGTTGAGCTCTGTGAAAAAATTTACATTATCGATAACAAAACGGTCGTCCACGCAGTTTAGTTTATCTGCATCCTTGCTATACGACATTGCGCGTGCGTGCGTGCGTGCGTCTGTGCGTGCGTGCGTGCGTGCGTGCGTGCGTGCGTGCGTGTTAGTCATGCAGACACATTGAAGACTCTGTCAAACTTACACAGGGTGGGTTCGTGGTGATCATCAAAATAACAGTTGGTTGAATGCAAATATTTCTAAATTTCGTGCAAAATAATGCAATCTCAACTAGAATATAGAGTCACGAATGGCGAGTGCTGCCATCTCTCGGGCGTGTCTAGTATCGTGGCTGCCGCAGATAAAGCTGTGTTTACACTACCGACTATGTTGGCGAATTGGCGAGTTGGACCAACTTCTCAATTCGCCAACTCCGAGTTGGCGAAAATAGAACGTGTTCTAATCTCCCAACTAGTTGCTATCGATCGGTTGGTCGCGCAACTTGCGTTACACTGCGGATTGTCGGTTGTATAGTTGGAAAGTTGGTCCAATTCGCCAATTCGCCAACATAAAGTCGGTGGTCTAAACCCAGCTTAAAGCTGCGTTTACGCTATCGGTTTTTGTCAGCAAATCGTACCGATTTCAAGTGCATTCCAACTAATCGGCTGAAATTCGATTGTGTTAGAGTCAGAGTCGGAGTCAAGTCGCCGAGTTGAAGAAATAGAACGTGTTCTATTTTGCAAGACTCTGACGATTTGCTGACAAAAATCGATAGTGTAAACGCAGTGTACGATATCGTACGGGTTATTTCCTGTCCGTTTCAGCTTGTCTGTTCTTGTGTTCGGCTGCGGCTGCCGTACCCTGATTATATAGTCTCTGACGCAGTCTGACCTAAACAGCGCAATAATTTTTTCGTGACAACCAGAATCTGATTGGCTCATAAATTTAAATGACCTTTAACCTTTGTCTGTCTGTCCCTATCAGAAGGCCGTGCGTGTCCTCCGTGGTTTATTTTTATGTTAATTTGTATTATTTCGAGGCAATTCACGTCAAGGTCTCGCTATGTCTCTGTTGTAGATTGACGAGCGATTATGCAGAGGGCAAGATATTCGCCAGTCCTATCGGCAGAATATCATTTGAAATCGTCGCAGATCCTGGTTAGTGCAGCTTCATTGTCATGAGTTGTGTTAAGTAGGGTTAAGGTTACGGATAAGGTTGTATAGGGGAGACCGGGTATAGTTGTTACAATTTTCCCATTTTCAGCCGTATCAAACAAACGAATAGAGGAAAACGTGTAGTGTCTTCCATGAGATAAGATAATTAATTATCTCCTTTTATTAAAAACAGTGAAAATTTTGAAACCCAAGTAAACATGAACAAGATATTATGTAATAAGTGGACGTAAATTTTTTTAACAAATTGCCCCCATGTCGGGGCAAGTTGTGACATCACCTGGGGTAATTTGTTACACATTAGATAGCACGTAGTTTGTCATAGCTATAGTTTGCCAAAGATACAGTCTCCCATAGCTATAGTTTGCCATAGCTACAGTCTCCCATAGCTACAGTTTGCCATAGCTACAGTTTGCCATAGCTACAGTTTGCCATAGCTACAGTTTGCCATAGC